TCTCTCTCTCTCTCTCTCTCCCATTCATGGAAGTGTCAAACAATAAACGCCCTGGTCACCGGACGGTTACCCCTTTCCACAAACGGCGTCTCTTAATCCTAGCTCTATACGGTCGGCTGACTGTGAAATGTTTTACGGCCCTCTCGACACTATGTTACTTATGTATGAGGCTGGCTGCATCAGCTCAGCCAGTCAGGAACATTTTGGGTTCTGTGAGGGCAAGTTAGTGCTGTGTTATTTTGAGGAAATGAAACTGTATCGATGCTTCGAAGCTTGAAGTCACTGTTTGTGCTATTCGTAAACCGTGTGCGAATGATGTTTTTTCTTTTGTTTTTGTTTTTTGTTGTTATTTTTCTTTTAAATAACATGTTTTATTACTCTTGTTGGCTCCACTTATCACCCTGTTCCGCAATTATCATGCATCTATGCATTTGCCTTAATGATTTGGGACATAATTAATATTATATTCTTATTTTACGACGAGTTCAGAATCATAATGAAACTGCTATATAATCACTATCCGTAAAAATCCCACGTCATTCGAATGGCTCTCCGTCCTTAGAATAGACGTGTATAGTACAAAAACACGAAATGTTGAATAGTTGAGTCAAAAGAGCACGGCTCTAAATACAATATCCTTTCAAAATTACTGCGCCGAAATCCTCGATAAAATGTGTCACTCCGCGGTGGGATCAGGCGGTCGTCAAATTTTGGGCATATGGAGTTATTGATATCATCTTAAACCTTGTCCATTTGTATAGCTTTGGGTCATCAGAATACCCATCTATCCTGTAAAGAAGCTGAGATATCTGCGTGTGAAGGGGAGATGGGGTCGCCTGGTTTTAGAAGTAAAATTAGCTAGAAAATGATCGACAAAGTGTGTTACTTCCATAGCTTGAGTGAGAGTCTATGGAAACTGAAAAGTTATATTGATTTTTGTGCCTTTAGTTAACGTTTTGAAGTAAAATGCACGCAGACATGTTGTACTTTTGAATGGGCACAATAGGTGTTAAGCAACCCCCCCCTCCCCCCTAAAAAAAAAGTAAAACATTTAATTTAAAAATGATAAAAATCGCCAAACCGGAGGGAAAATGCCGTACTTTCGATTTAGTATTTTGACGAGCGTATGAATTCACCACGATGCTTCACAAATTATAATATGCGGGTGCTAGGAAGGCGCCACTGGTAGTTCCCGCATTTCTGTTTGCTCCCCTCTGTTGTCTCTGTCAGTCTACTTCACTTTTTCATGTACTAAATGATCGATGTCGTGTGTACAAGCGTACTATGCTTCTTTTTACTCAAACTCTTCTACCTGTACTTACTCAAACTCTTCTACCTGTACTTACTCAACCAAACTCTTCTACCTGTACTTACTCAACTAAACTCTTCCA